TAGTCAAAATTGGATCCGCTTGAAAACATGAAAGTTGTAGACAATTGTCTCAGCTTTCTTGTGTAAACAATTCAGCTTATTTGGACTTTTAGAACTCCAGATATGACCAAAATACTGAACAATACTCGGGCTGGAGGACAGCTTCGGGCTTTTTTGGTGTTGCAATAATTTGAACTTGAAAATGGCCTTTTTAGATCTTGGGCTCCATATAAAAGTTGTAGGCCTATGTCTTACCTTTCCATCCATATAAAGTAGATCTAAATCTGAGATCTATACCTCCAGATATGATCTAATTACCGAACAGTGTTCCGGTTTGGATTGCACCGACATCTCTTTTCTAATTTTGGTCATCTCTTTGCCCTTGCAATTTAAGTTCTTAAAGTCATCAATCAATCCTTTCATTTATGTGATAGGCCTGCATTTAAAATGAATATTTACCACAAATTAAATGTCTCTTATATTATTAGATATATTATTATAAAACATGCTTAGTTAAGGAGTTATTGATACTTCAAGTGCAAAATGATGATATAAAATCATGATAAAAATGCACTTTTAAGTACTAATCAGTTATATATTTCATTTTTTTTATATTAGTAGTATGTTAGAAAGTTTTACTTTATTGTTTGTGATTTGTGAAAATTAATTGGATGTTTGAATCCTTCAATAATGTTGGTGTGAATTAAGATCTAGGATGGTTTGACCATATGTTATAATGATATTTATGGTAGGTTTGAAGATGTCGATAACTTAATATGGTTTAAATATAAGAAAAATTATATATATCTGTGTGTGTGTTAGGGGGGGCGCAAATATTATTGGGACATAACATATGATAAGAAAAAAAATTGAATATTATATCCACAGTCAATGCCTTTTCTGCATCACTCAAACTTTTATATCAAATTCACTTTTTTAAATATCAAGAATATACTTCTTAATATTCTTTTAACAATTTAGATATGTTTTACTTATAAATATAGTTATTTTTTCATTATTAAACATTAAACTTAAAATCTCCAACTCTTAACATTTTAATATAAACAATATTATCATGTAAGTTTATTTCATACTTACACACATTATATTTTTCTTTTCCATATAATAATCATTCATTTTTCTTGAATAACCAAAGAAAATCAAAGAAAATAAAAAAAAGACTAACACATAAAATAGAGCCACGACAAAACAATAATTAAAAAGTCTTAACTATTTATAGAAACGGTCTAGTTATTTCTCAAAATACTTAGCTCCTTTTTGTTACTGGAAAATTTTCCTCTTTTCTTTTTATCTGACCAAAAAGTTCACCATTGCAACAAATTTATATTTTACCTTTAAGATAAATCCATACAAGTTACATAATAAAAGATATGTTCTTATTCCTATTCTGTTATGCAGCAGCTTTTCCTTCTTCTCTCAATTCCTCTTGTAACAGAAACTTTTAAATGTTCATTACAAACACACAGTGGAAAATAAATGGAATATAATCTTTAGACCAAACAAAGATAAACTGGTCTATTTGCAGCTTGGAGTGATCAAGGATTTAGATTTCCTGGAGCTTCCAAGGGGGCCAAGGGCCCTCCCTAAAGCACGATCCTGTCTACAACCGAGCTTTTGATACCCCGACTACAGTTTGTTTTTGTAAGCCTATGAGAAGCTGAGTCCCCCCCCCCCCCCCACGGACGGGAAGGAGCA